AAAAAAACTTTTACCGAAATGAGTTTGGATGATTTGAATGTTTTCTATTCATTCATTCACATTCTTCCATTTGAAGGTAGAAAATATAAAACAAAATGTATATTCATAACTTTTAAAATTCCAAACGCTGAGTGTTTTGTATGTGAAGTAAAATATTCAAATCTACTGTACTCTGTTTGGCTAGAAGTTTGAATGAATTCATGCAGCCCTCTAATACCAACGTTGTATTGTAATAACTAAATTTTAGCTATCTAATTTCTTACGAATAATAACTCTAATATTATTCCACAGCATGTTTTTAGCACTTCAAAGCATCTATTAACTTAGATGCATTTTCAATTGCAATGCAAATCATACATTTTATTATCGATAAACAGTTGGTTTTATTTTAAGACATTTTTGTTTATAGTTGAAGTTTTTTAAATTGGAAAGGCATATCAGAAGGAGTTAAAGGCGTCACGTGACTTGCGGTTCCGAAGTTATGGCTGATGAAAACGTCCACGCCCATGTTATGTGCTACGCCCCCTTTTACAAACTCCTTACTATAAGCACTTACCATAGATATGTTTGCATACCAAATTTCAGGTTCATGTGACTTATGGGTCCGAAGTTATGGCTGATTAAAAATTCCATTATTATGAGATGAGCCACGCCCCCTTCTACAAACTCATTTATTTATATCTTACTATAAGAACCTACCATATTTATGTCTACATACTAAATTTCAAGTTCATGTGACTTCTGGTTCCGAAGTTATGGCTGATTAAAACTTCAAAGCCTACTGGATTTATATAAACCTTACCATAAGCACCTACCTAGATATGACTTCATATCAAATTTCAAATTCATGTGACTTATGGTTCCGAAGTTATAGCTAAAACAAAATTCCTCGCCCAAGGGATGTGCCACGCCCCCTTTTATAAACTCATTGATATAAACCTTACTATAAGCGTCTCCCATGGACATGCCTTCGTACCAAATTGCAAGTTCTCTTGACTTATGGTTCCGAAGTTCTAGCTGATTAAACATTTACATTCGGTAATGAGTTCCATAGTTTGATCGCACTGACAAAGAACGTTCTAGATGACGAGAGATATTTATAGCGTGGAACAATGAGGTTGCAAGTCCTGTCTGACTTCGCGAAACACAAATTTTTAAAGAGGTATTCTGGTTGCCTTTTATAAATTAATTGATTTAGGAAAACTAGGTTGCGATAATTTAGGAAATTAGTAAGACTGCAGCCCATTATCTTAAAAGAAAACTCCGATATGTGCTCAAATTTTCGCTTCGAAATTATATATCGTGCACAATTGTTCAGAGCAAAATGCAGCTTTTTCTGTGATTCACAATCCATATTTCCATACAAGAGCCCACCAAACGATATCAATGGAACTATGAGAGTTTTCACCAATTTCAGTTTCACATTTAAAGGAATGTAGTCGGCTGTGTACCATAATTTTCTTAAAATAAAGTAAATTTTGCTTAGAATATAGGTAATATGGTCTTTACATCCAAGGTATGGATTTAATTTAAACCCTAAGCTAGTAACAAAGGACTCGTATTTTATAGTAATGCCCTGTATGGTTAAATATGGTAAATTCTTTACAAGTTTCGAGGAGTACGTAATACAAGTGGCTTTTGTCTTAGAGGCATTTAGATTTAAGTTATTATCTTTCGCCCACGAAGAGATGCGTTCGAGGTCTTCGTTTACTCTAAACACCAGATCTTCACATAGGCCAATCGGACGAGAAAAATATACTTGTGCGGCGTCTGCATATAAATGTATCGAAACAGTCTTTCAACAAGAAGTTATATCGTTAATAAACATACTGAACAAAATTGGACCAAGTATAGATCCCTGAGGCACCCCCGAATGAAGACGCTTCATCTCAGAGCAGTTGTTTTTAATAACTACTTTCTGCCAACGATTACTTAGAAAAAAAATAATGGAATGATCTACTGTGTCGAAAGCTTTTAAAAAATCTAAAAGCGTCAGAACAGTTAAATCGCCTCTGTCATAGGCAGAGCGAATGTCTTCAACAACCTTGAGCAAAGCTGTTGCACAACTATGGCGGGCTCTGTAACCAGACTGGCATTCGGTTAGTAGCTTATTTTTATTAAGGTATTCAGTAATTTGAACAACAACTAACTTTTCCCAGATTTTAGAAAGAGCTGGCAATATGCTTATTGGACGTTGGCAAAGCAGCCGATGGCTTTTTAGCAGTTGGGATAACTTTCGCTTCCTTCCCAGCATAGGGGAAAGCTGAAGTTGTTATTGAAAAATTATGGGAGTCAAAGTGGGAACTATGTTTATTTATTTTCTTTTTGTCATAAACAACCTGCTGTTCGACAAAATCCCATTACAATAAAACAATTAACTGAAGCACCCTCAGTTGTTTAGCCCTGTTTTTGTGCCAATTCACGTGCCTTGGCGCGCTCCAATTTAGCAATACGAGCCAAACTCTTGGATCCCAGAATACCACCACCCCAGTGTTTGCGGATTTCGTCATGACGGTCATTGTAGTTGGTCTTGATGGCTTCCAGAATCTTGGCGAAGTTCGCCTTATCGTTGGCTTCAACATTTGTCAGCGCTAATGCTGTGCATGTCTTACGACGTACCAACAAACCAAGACGTGCCTTTCCTTTAACAATGCAGTAAGGTACGCCCATTTTGCGGCAAAGTGCGGGTAAGAACAGAACCAGCTCCAAGGGGTCAACGTCGTGAGCAATGACGACCAGTTGAGCCTTCTTCTGCTCGACCAGCTTGGTCACAGTGTTGGTGTAAGAACGCACGGAAGTGGGCTTCTTCTTGGGCTGCACATCCTTGCCCTTAGCCTTAGCTTCAGCAATCTTCTTCAAACGTTGCTTCTTGGCCAACGCAGATTCAGGACGGTACTTCTCCAAGAGTTTGAACATTTTTACCGCTGTAGTTTTGTCCAAACTTTGGGTAAATTGATGAATTGGTGGTGGTACCTTCAAGCGTTTCTGCAACACAGCCTTTTGACGCTGAACTCGAATGTATTTTGGCCATTTAACAAAACGAGACAAGTCACGTTTGGGTTGAACATTCTGACCGATGCCAAAGTTTTTAGGACGCTTTTCGAATAGCTGATTTACCACCTTCTTTACTACAGGTTTCTTGACGGCCAATGGGGCTGGCGCAACCTTCTTGGTAACTGGCTTCTTCTTTGGTCTTGGCTTCTTCACCACCATTTTGGATAATTTTTAAAACGCGATGTAATTGAAATAAGCAGATTTTAATAGCGGCCCGAAAAAAGAGCTGCTTCTACGTCTGCCTGTCAAAAAGTGCTATAATTTTCAAAAACCTAAGACTTATACCATCCTCTCCAACAGCGTTTGATTTTATGGAGTACAGACTTCTTATGACATCATCCTCAGTTACTGCGTTAAACTGCAAAGCATTGTCAGGTGTATCTAGCAAATTTTTGTCTATTTTGAAATTTCTACTATTTTTGCAGTTGCTCGACTGTAAAAAGAAGTCGTTAATGGAATCAGGGTACGAATCGCATCCCGAATCGATCTTACATCCGATACCCACGGATTTAAGATTTTTCCACAGACTTTTAGCTGATAAATTAATATCAAGTTTTGTCTGAAAAAACAGTCTTTTGGAATTCCATATTGTAAGTGTGGCATGATTTCTGGCACAGCGATAAAACTCCCAGCTTTCATTTGTGGGGCGCCGTTTCCAATAGTTATACGACTTATTGCGTGCTTTGATAGCCGACAGAACTTCGTTTGTGAACTATGGCTGTCTTTTACTTTGAATTTTTACTGCTTTTAGAGGAACATATTTATCAAATAGATAGTTTATAAGCGACGTGAAGTGAATGAGTTTTTGGTTTATATCTGGAAAGGTCCAAACGCGGTTCCAATGTAGAAAATTTGCTTCATGTACTAGGTTGGAAAAACTAGCTGCCTTAAAGTCTCTGTAATAAAACTGTGTTCTGGTTTTGCAATTAAAATCAATATCATAGGATATGAACAACATGTCGTGATCTGATATTCCGGCAATAGAAAACTGGTCGTAATGAAGAACACTGGAACTGTCTGAGGTACAAATCAAATCTAGCAAGCTAGATTTGCAATTATGTGAAAAACGTGTAGGGTATTTATTTATAATTTCTAAGCCAACTAATTTAAGCGACCTCGAGTCGTTGTTTAAAATATCTGTATTAAAGTCACCACAAACTAAGATATTTTCATATTTGTATGTTATCTCAGACAATTCCAAGAACAAAATGTTACTTTTCCACAATAAGCTTTTCATTAAAAAACGGCCTCAAGCTAAATAAAAATTGTTGAATAAAAAAAAATTTAACAAAGAAATTACTAACCAATTTTTAAGAATTTGGTATCGTTGTAAAGGCGAATGAACCCCCTGGTGTGCATATTTATATACTTCGTGTATAATAATTTGAGAAAAACATTTGAAATCAAAAAATACCTTTTTTTATAAAGAAAAATATTTTACACAAAAATATTACTAATCGATTTTTTAAAAATTCGTATCGTTGCAAATACTACCAGAAAACTTATACTTTCTTAAACCCAAAAATTTCGTTTTAAATACACAAAAAAAATATTATTAAAAACATTTTTTCCCTCTATATAAACTCCTGCCCCCTAGGTGAAAGGCTGGCTACGCCTTTGTATACAAAGCAATTAAAGTATTTAAACCGTAGGTATATCATACGGCCATTTTGTTCTTTTAGAGCGCATACATGTTTCCATAATAATGATTCCAGTATCTTCGGTTATGTATATTATAACTATCAATATCTTATAAAGAGAAGAGTACATTTTTTTATCTAAACCTAATAAAGTTAGAAGGACGAAATTCGAGGATGTGGTAGTTAACATATTACTCCTTGACATATATTTTTTTCAAAAACAAATTTGGAAATTTCTAAGGATATTCAAGGATAAAGTTTTAAAAGGACCTTTTCAATACTTATTCGTTCTGGCGCACCCACAAATTTATTTTTTTTCTATTCTACAGAATTTTTCCTTTAAATTAATACCCATATTTTTACCCTACAATGCACCGCATTTTTTTATTCAATCATAGTCCTTTTAAAAAAAATCCTGACGTCAGAGAGAAAAACTAGAAATGCAGTTTTATTATATTTGGCCCCCCGTTTTGTGAATATATTGATTTTTTCGTGTGTAAAATTGACTGTCGCACGGTGTAATATGCGAAAGCTTTTTCGTCACATCGGATCTGTACCGTTCGTTCGATTTTACAAAATAAGGTATCAAAATAAAGGGCTTGCCTGTGGATCTGCAATAACTTCTTATTTTTTTTCAAAAAGAGTTGCCTCCTGATAAAAAAAAATTAATATCAAATTAGTTTTAAGTTAAATCAATTATTACACTATGAGTATCGATCGAAATGGTTTTTAAAAGGCTTTATTTCTTAATTGTATGTAGGAGGGTTGCCACCTGTTTCAGAAGCAAGTTCGGCTTAAATAAAGGCAGAAAGTTGAACTGCGTATCCTGATATGGATATCGGTGGAAAGAGATTCTGGTTTGAAAATATTTTGCAAAAGGTTGCCACCTTGTTACGAAGTTAGAGCAAAAAATAAGCAATAGGTTAAATAAATTACTTCAATATGAATAGAAATCAAAATTGCTTTGAAGTTTATTTCCAAACTGCATGTAGGAGTGTTTCCATCTGATTTTATAATTAAATTCAAATTTAATTAAGAATGTTGGATAATTTAAATCTGTACCACAATACAAGTATCAGACGAAAAAGGTTTAACGAGGTGTTGGTTTAAGAATAATTTTAACAGGATTTCCATCTGTCGAATTAAAAAACTATATAAAATATTGAAATATTGGCGTCAAACAAAGGAGTATTAAGGAAAATTTAGTTTCAGCATTTATAACATTAAAGAGGGTCTCCACCTGTGTAAAAAGTTAAACTTAAATTATTTAATAAGTCAAATGAATTACTAAAGTATGGGTATAAATTGACATGGGTTAAAAATGTTTTTTTCTTAACTTTATTTAAGAGGGTTTCCATATGTTTTAGAAATGAAATTCAACTTGAATTAAGGGAATTAGATACATAATTTAATTATGTTGAGCAATATGTGTGTCAGTCGAAAAAGGTTTAACAAGGCTTTGGTTTTAAAATATTTTTAATAATTAAAGTAGGCACAAGTTAAATGAGATATTACAACACGACGTGAAACGAAGGTGGTACGATACCCTTAGTTTGAATATTTAGAATATTAAAGAGGCTGAGCCGAAGGTGTAAGCACCAGCGATGCAAAAGCATGCAAAGTTGTGGTTCCCCACTTCTTTTCAGATAATAATAATAATTATTTAAAAGGGAGGCCACCTGTTTAAGAAGGTAAACTCAAATTATTTAATAAGTTAAATCAATTATTAAAAATCTGGGTATCAAACGAAATGGGTTTAAAAAGGCTTTACTTCTGAACTGTGTTTAGGAGCGTTGTCACTTGTTTAAAAAATAAAGTTTAACTTAATTCATCAGACACATGAAATATGTGGGTATCACAATATCAGACGCAAGAAATTTATTTATTTCTTAACTATATTTAGGAGGGTTGCCAGCTGTTTCAGAAGTCTTAGCTAACTTATGCACAAATGCGAAGACGAAGATAATGCGGAGACGAGCACGGGGACCTGGGCTAATTTAAAAAGTAGTGCAAATTTCTGCAGTATGAAAGGAAATAAAGATAAATCGACGCACATAGGGGTATTTGGCCGATTTATGCGGCCAAAAATTATTTTTATGAACATTTTAACTCAAAATGTTTAGAAAAGACGTCTTACGACGTTTAAAATTGTAAGTGTTTAAAATCAAGTAAATGTAGGTGGAGGACGTACAATTATTCCTCCAAAGCAACGAAAATAACGTTGGTTAAAGTTTGACACCGATAGCCTCTATGTTGCCGTGGTCCGATTGTAGAAACACGCATACCTACTAGGGATCCCGGTGTTTTTGACGTCCCGGAAATCCCGGGATTTGCTTGCATTAATCCCAGGATCCCGAAAATTTTGAAATATCGAATTGATAGTAAGAATTTGTTTATGAATTTTGAAGTATGATTTTTGTAAAATGCCGTTTTGACTGCAGTTAACAAAAAGCTTGAAACTGTACTTTTAAATTGCAGTCTGAGCCTTTGTTGAAAAAGATTTCAATGAATTTACTCATAGCGTCGCTAATGTAAACGAAACAGAGAGTTTTAAGGAAAAGTTAGATAATTTTTTAGATCAATCTACTCAAAACTTCCTCAAATCGAAAAAAGAGAAACGTGCTGGTAAAAGAAGTCAAGGCTCTTGGTATTGTTCCATACGTGGTGCAATGCTCTGAGTCAGGAGCAGTTGGCTCAAGACCGACCATACGTGGCGAAGAGTCACACCCTGCGAGAGGTGCCCCTGCTTTTACTGAATATGGCGGATCTAGAGAGGACAACTCGATAAAACCCGTAATTCCGAGTGTCATCCGTACCGTGCTTATGGGATGAATGGCACTACGTTAGTGTGTCTTATAACGGTGGCCTCCAGATACCTGGCGACCTCTGGTTGTAAGAAGCCCCGCTCGGGATAGTGGGGGCTATGTCCCAGCGGTACTACTATCCCCCATACTCGTGGGAACACTATGGATAACGTAAATAAAAAAACAACAACAAAAAAAACAGATGGAGCTGAACAGCTCGCAGACGAGGCCGGGCATGGCCTTTCGGCAGCCGCCGAAACGGGGACTGTCCCGACAGAACTACCGGGGGCGCATAGTCCCCAGTATGACGTTGAGATGGTTGACACCAGCGCTAGACGGGATGCGAGTCCCGTCAAAACGCTTTCTGATATCTCGCCGGAGGATGAGCAGAAGCTGCTTGCCTCTCCGACAGGTAATGATACTCTCGTCCAAACTCGAGAGCGCGATCGGCTTAGTGGAGCCGGTCGAAAACGCCTCAAACGCTATTTGGAGAAGGGTATGAGCTATGAGGAGGCTAAGGAATTAGCGAAAGAGCCCATTGGGCCCCCTCAAAAGGAGAGATCGGCTAAAAGAACCCGATCAAAGAGCTCCACTCCACAGGAGCAAGCCCCAAAGAAGGTCTCCAAATTTATGGACGGCGCAGCGAGAGCTGAGCCGACTGGGGCAGTAACAATGCCCACGACCGAGGCAAGCCTGCCTCGTGAAGACGCCGGAAAGGCCGTGAAACCAACATCCTTTAGGGACGCACTGTGTGAGGTGAAGCTGGGTATAGTCCCCGAGAACTATCCGGCTACGGTCTGGTCGACGGACGAACTGAGG